TGTCTGTTAAGTTCGGAGCGGTTGTCGCGGTGCCCGTCTCTGCTGCTGTGCCATCCTGTCCCACTGACAGCTGCACCGACACAGCAGCACCGGCACGGCAGTACGGACACAGCAGCACCGACACAGCACCGACACAGCAGCACCGGCACAGCAGTACGGCCACAGCAGCACCGACACAGCACCGACACAGCAGCGCCCACACAGCATCACCGACACAGCAGCACCGATACGTCGGCGTCGGCGGTCGTCCCCGGAGCCCGTCCCCGGCTCCGTCACCCCACTCACCCGGCGTCACCCCACTCACCCGGCGGTCACCCCACTCACCCGGCGGTCACCCCGCTTACCCGGCGGTCACCCCGCTTACCCGGCGGTCACCCCGCTTACCCGGCGGTCCCCCGCTTACCCGGCGGTCACCCCGCTTACCCGGCGGTCACCCCGCTTACCCGGCGGTCACCCCGCTTACCCGGCGGTCACCCCGCTTACCCGGCGGTCACCCCGCTTACCCGGCGGTCACCCCGCTTACCCGGCGCCGGCGGTCGTCCCCAGAGCCCGGAGAGCCTGGTGCTGTCGTTCGGCGCCAACACGAAGGCCCAGCTGGCGGCCCGCACCGTCTTCACGCTGACGCACCGGCACGCGGACATACTGCGCGACGGCTGGCGCAACCTGCTGGACTGTCTGCTGCAGCTGTACCGCTGCCGCCTGCTGTCGACGGAGGTCACCGAGGTCAGAGCCGCCGCCAGCCGGTCAGAGGGGGCCGTGCGGGGTCAGAAGGGCATTTCCAAGGGGTCGGGAGGTCATCATGGGAACGCGAGGGCTGGGCGGACTACTGGCTGCGTTTGTCACGGTCAGGCCGTTGATCGATCGTCACGGTCGGTTGTCAGCTGCTGTTTGCTGCCGTCGCTCTTGGAAGGTAGTTCCGAACGGCGGCAGCAATGACCAGAAGTTGGCACAAGGAGCCTTTTGAAACCAACGCATTTTGGCCATGACAAAATTACACAGGCGTGTAGGCCGCTTTTGTGATCATTGCTCACCCAACATGTATGCTTTTGTCCGAATGCTTTGGTCACAATGGGCCAGACAGCGATGATAACCAACTCGTCGATCTTGTCCGTACCCATGTGCTTGTGTTCCCTGTGTGTGAACTCTTCTGACCTTCCCCTGTGGCTGCCTACCCTGTGCCCGTTCTCCCACTACCCCGCTCGTCCCTACGCCTGTTCGCCTGCGCCTGTTCGTCCCGCGCCTGTCCGTCCACCGCCTGTCTGACGTGACGCCTGTCTGACGTGACGCCTGTCTGACACCGCCTGTCCGCCGCCGCCTGTCTGACGCCCGCCTGTCGTCAGGCGGCGGACTTCCTGAGCCGGACGGGCCGGGTCAGCCTGCTGCGGGAGCCGGCGGCCGTCACACAGCGGCCGGAGACCAGCCTGCTCAGCTCGCTGTACTCGTACATCGCGCTCGGACACAGGTACGGCACGGCCGGCGGGGGATGCTCCCTGGACAGGGCAGGAGAGAGTGGAGCGCTGGGAAACGGACACTCGTCGGGCTTTAACAAGTAACCATGCGTGACGCAAACCCTGCCGGAGTGAATAAATGAAAACACTCTTGGTGAAGGTAGTGTGCAAAACACTACCTCGTTGTTGTGACGTTTCCCTGCCCTGCACTATCCTGCCCTGCCCTGCCGTGACCTGCCCTGCCCTGCCCTGCTGTGGACCAGCCCTGCGTTTACCTTGCCCTGCCCTGCCCCACCGGGAGCCTGCCCTGCTCTGCCCTAACCTTCCCCTGCCCTGACCTGCCCGTCTGGCCGCAGAGTCTCAGGTGGCCAAGCAGCCGTCGCCGGAGGACGTGGAGCACAAGGCGCGCGCTCAGCGCGTCATCCGCGAGTGGTCACCCGGAGCTGCTCGTCACCGAGTCCAAGTTCCTGCGCATGGACTCGCTGCACGAGCTGGTCAAGGTACACAGCGTGACGTCATCGTGACGTGGACGTGAGTGTGGTGTGTGTCATGACATGGTGCGAGCGAGAAAGCGGCGGTTAGCGGGGGCGTGGGGGGGGGGGGACGCCGGCGGCTGGACTCGCTGCACGAGGTGGTCAGGGGAGGCTGGATGGAGCGGGGGCAGAACAAGTGGAGGGGCAATGTATACATGTCATGGCAGGGTACGAGTGGACGGTGAGGGCTGACCGATGTTAGTGCGCGCTCGCGACGCAGTGATGTGATGGCAGCCGTCGGTGGGCCATGGTCAGGCGGCGCATCGCTGCAAGCGCCCGACGTCGCTGCTTCAATCTCGGACCACGGCGGAATGGACCTGTGCGCGCGGAAGATCCGCTGCGTTGCGTTACTGGATCTTTTACAATGCGCATGATCTGTGTGGTGGTGCTTGTCGCCGTCGGTGGCGGCCGCCGCCCGCCCGCTCCCGTGCTGCCTGCCTGACGCCTCTCCGCCACATCAGGCCCTGATCCTGGCCAGCCACGGCCCGGACGGCCCCGCGCAGGGCTCCAGCTTCGACGAGGACTCGGCCTCGTTCTTCCTCGAGATCCTCATCAAGGTGGTCATCCAGAACCGGTCAGTGCCCGCCGCCGCCGCCGCCGCCGCCGCCGCTTCCGTGTGCTGATGGTTCATCGTCCTATTTGGCGGAAATTCCGTCAGCCACCTTACCCACGTGCATACAACTTTTCATTAGATGCAATCAAACCTCATGTTTGATTGCCCAGTCTTAATGCGTTAATGGGAAGTTAGCTCGACTGGTCAGACCTAGCAAAGCCTATCCGCCTTTAGATCTTGTTCAATGCAGTCCATTATGATGACAATTGGCTGCCACGGGTGACTGTAAGAGTGTTGGTGCTGAATGCGCCCGAGGCGGCAGCACCACTGGTGACTGAATGGTTTGCCTCTCTCCCCGGTGCGCACCACTGGTGGGTCCGTGGTGCGCCTCTGCCAGTGTGCACCGCTGGTGACTCAGCGGTGTGCCTCCCTCCCCGTTCTTCACCACTGGTGACTCCGTGGTGCGCCTCTCTCCGCGGTGTGCACCACTGATGAGTATCAAAGTGTGCCTTCCGTCTCCCCTCCACCGTTGCAGCACCACTGCTGACGGTCTCGTTGTTGTTGTCTCGGAACCGTAGCACCACTGGTGACGACACCGTTGTTGCTGTCTCGGCACCGTGCACCACTGGTGACGGTCCCGTTGCTGCTTCTGTCTCGGCACCAAACACCACTGGTGACAGCCCCGTCCCGCCGGCTCGGCAGGGACCGCGCGGCGCCCGCTGTGGCAGTCGGTGCGCAACCACATTCTACTCGGTGGTGATGTCGGCGTCGGCATCACACCACAGCCAGCTGATGGAGCGCGGCATGGTGGGCCTCATCAGACTGGTCATCCGGCTGGTGCGGCGCGAGGAGCTCACCTGCCAGGTACGCACGGCGGCGCGGTGGCCGGCCACGGTACCGGGCGGCACCTGCCAGGTCCGTGTACCCGTCGCAACGCTGTCGTGCCCCTGGGGAGTCTCGGTCTTGTATCTTCGTTGTCGTTTTCGGTGTCGATCACGGTCCCTTTACACTCGTTCCTGTTGTGCGCACGGTGGAGCGCGCTCCCCCTCACCTCCTCAGCCGCTCCTGCGCCTGACCAGCCGCCGCAGGAGCGCTCCCCCTCCCCTCCCCAGCCGCTCCTGCGCCTGACCGGCCGTCGCCGCGCCGTCGCCAGGTGCTGCAGTCGCTGCGCATGCTGCTGCTGCTGCGCGGCAGCTGCTTGCAGCAGGTGAGCCGGCAGGCGACAGCCGGCCTGCACCAGCTGCTGCGGACGGCCGCCGGCTCGGTGACGGCCGCCGCCGACTGGGCCGTGCTCTTCACGCTGCTGGAGTGCGTGGGCGCCGGCGCCCGGCCGCCGGCCGTGGTGGCTGGCGAGGCGGTGCCGGCGGAGGCGCAAGGTCAGTCACACGGTCGTCGGGGGTCTTCGTAACGGGCACGTGAAGGTCACTCACGGGGTCACGAGAGGATTCCGTAGCGGTCACTGCCACGGTTTCATGCACGTGAGGTCAGTCAAGGGGTCGGGGGAGGCCACGGGGTCATGTACGCGAGGCCACTCTCGAGCGCTGGTGTCACGTGACCGAACTGTCGGCGGTTTGTTTCGAGTCTGATTGGCGGTCTTGTTTAACCCGTGTTTCATCCGCTGAGAGCGGTTGTGTTTGGGATAGTGGCCCGTGCTGTGTAACTGAGACGTGTGAATCAGCTCCGAGGTGATTCGCGCCATCACACCGTTCACACAGGTGCTCACCTCTGGTAAATTGACCAGACTGAACTGGTATGTAATCCACTCATCTGTGTGCACTGTATCGATTTAATAGTACCTACGGAACCTATTTGATGGTCGCGTCTTAACCCGCCCTGACCCGACCTGACCTGACCTGAACTGACCTGACCTGACCTGACCTGACCTGACCGGATCCCCGCCTGTATTGCAGCCGTCTCCGACACGGAGCAGGTGGCCAGCGACGGCACGCAAGACTCGGGTAACGCGTCGGACAAGTGCTACAGCGACTCGGAGCTCTACGAGCCAAGAGGTGAGCGCGGTGCCGGCGCCGCCTCCTCTCTGGCGCCGCCACCGGCCACACACCGGACCGTGGGGTTAAGGCGGGCTGGGGCACCACTCGCTGGCGCCGGCTGTCCCAGCATTGGCCGTGGGGAAGAGATGCGTCATATGCGGTGCAGGTTTTTTGCGACTGCGGGTACCGGTTGTGTGATGTAGTCGTTGCCGGCATGGCCACTGATCAGTTTCACCGGCGTGGCTTGGCTATCCCGGCAACCGCTGCAGGCTTCTGACTGGAGTGAGCGCTATGCCCGTCAGTGCAGGGTTCTGTCGTATGTCGACTCTTGCCTCAAAGCACGTGACTTTGTTCTCATGCTCCTGTCCACCTACGTGACCTTTGACCGCTGTGTGACCCCTATGCGACCCCTGCGTGACCTCTAGGTGACCTCTGTCTGACCCTGGTGGGACCACTATGAACCCGTCTGACATCTGTCTGACCCTTGTGTGACACCTGTATAACTCCTGTGTGACCTCTGTGTGCCCCCAGGTCAGCAGCCGGGCCTCCGGCCGCAGGGAGCACCATTCCACAGCATGTCGGAGCTGTCGGGTCGCGTGGCCTCCGAGCAGACCCGGCCCGCCGGCACCGGCGGCTGGATCCTGGTCAGTAGCCGGTCAGCAGGTCAACAGGTCACCGCTGTCAGCGGCGGGCGGCCGCGCCGAGGCGCTGACCTGACGCTGGGGCGGGGCGGGACACCGGCCCCAGCCGGCGGGCGCGGGGAGGTGCCGCACCAGCCTCGTGTGCTGCCCGGCAGCCGCAGCGGTGTACGTCAGTAGTTAACTGAGGGTGGGGCGGGAGGGACACCGGCCCCAGCCGGCGGGCGCGGGGAGGTGCCGCACCGGCCTGGTGTGCTGCCCGGCAGCCGCAGCGGTGTACGTCAGTAGTGGACTGAGGGTGGGGCGGGGGGCGGGATAGATTGTTGTCACAGAAGCAGAGTCAAGCCGTTTGCGCCTGGTTTCGATGCCATCAGCGAAGAGGGAAGGGGGAGGGGGGGGGAGCTGACAACTGGTATGAGCCCCAAGGAGGACCCGCGATGTACTGATGTGCTAAGGCCTCCCAGTGTACCAGAAAGAAACCAGAAAGTTATGCTTCCTACTGCTCTCAGAAACAGCGTTTGATGTTTTGACTCTTGAACGACGGCGTTGCGCTCCTGCTATTAAAGCTAAAACGGCCCTGAAAAATCGCTACGAAAAAATTATGTCACAGGTAATTATTTTAGAAGTTGTTTTGAATGGTTTGAAGCGAGTCTCTTAGCATGAGACCGGCTGCATGAGCATTATATCAATACCATTTTCTGATCTACTAAATTTACTACTGGTTAGTGACTTCTTTGCAGACCATGCTGACGTGGTGCGGCAGAGGCGGTGGTAGGGGGCTGTGGCTCAGTACAGCCCAGGCCGGGCCGGACGGTGTGTGACGTTACTCTGTGTTGTCGGCAGGTGGGCCGGGGCAGACGGTGCGTGACGTTACTCTGTGTTGTCGGCAGGTGGGCCTAGCCGGACAGTGTGTGACGTTACTCTGTGTTGTCGGCAGGTGGGCCGGGCCGGATGGTGTGTGACGTTACTCTGTGTCGTCGGCAGGTGGGCCGGGGCAGATGGTGTGTGACGTTACTCTGTGTTGTCGGCAGGTGGGCCGGGGCAGACGGTGTGTGACGTTACTCTGTGTTGTCGGCAGGTGGGCCGGGGCAGACGGTGTGTGACGTTACTCTGTGTTGTCGGCAGGTGGGCCGGGCCGGATGGTGTGTGACGTTACTCTGTGTCGTCGGCAGGTGGGCCGGGGCAGATGGTGTGTGACGTTACTCTGTGTCATCGGCAGGTGGGCCTGGCCGGACGGTGTGTGACGTTACTCTGTGTCATCGGCGGGTGGGCCTGGCCGGACAGTGTGTGGCGTTACTCTGTGTTGTCGGCAGGTGGGCCGGGGCAGATGGTGTGTGACGTTACTCTGTGTTGTCGGCGGGTGGGCCGGGGCAGACGGTGTGTGACGTTACTCTGTGTTGTCGGCAGGTGGGCCGGGGCGGACGGTGTGTGACGTTACTCTGTGTTGTCGGCAGGTGGGCCTGGCCGGACAGTGTGTGACGTTACTCTGTGTTGTCGGCAGGTGGGCCGGGGCAGACGGTGTGTGACGTTACTCTGTGTTGTCGGCAGGTGGGCCTGGCCGGACGGTGTGTGACGTTACTCTGTGTCATCGGCGGGTGGGCCTGGCCGGACAATGTGTGGCGTTACTCTGTGTTGTCGGCAGGTGGGCCGGGGCAGATGGTGTGTGACGTTACTCTGTGTTGTCGGCGGGTGGGCCGGGGCAGACGGTGTGTGACGTTACTCTGTGTTGTCGGCAGGTGGGCCGGGGCAGACGGTGTGTGACGTTACTCTGTGTCATCGGCGGGTGGGCCTGGCCGGACAGTGTGTGGCGTTACTCTGTGTTGTCGGCAGGTGGGCCGGACGGTGTGTGACGTTACTCTGTGTTGTCGGCGGGTGGGCCGGGGCAGACGGTGTGTGACGTTACTCTGTGTTGTCGGCAGGTGGGCCGGGGCAGACGGTGTGTGACGTTACTCTGTGTCATCGGCGGGTGGGCCTGGCCGGACAGTGTGTGGCGTTACTCTGTGTTGTCGGCAGGTGGGCCGGGGCAGATGGTGTGTGACGTTACTCTGTGTTGTCGGCGGGTGGGCCGGGGCAGACGGTGTGTGACGTTACTCTGTGTTGTCGGCAGGTGGGCCGGGGCAGACGGTGTGTGACGTTACTCTGTGTTGTCGGCGGGTGGGCCGGGGCAGACGGTGTGTGACGTTACTCTGTGTTGTCGGCGGGTGGGCCGGGGCAGATGGTGTGTGACGTTACTCTGTGTCGTCGGCAGGTGGGCCGGGCCGGACGGTGTGTGACGTTACTCTGTGTTGTCGGCGGGTGGGCCGGGGCAGACGGTGTGTGACGTTACTCTGTGTTGTCGGCAGGTGGGCCGGGGCAGACGGTGTGTGACGTTACTCTGTGTTGTCGGCGGGTGGGCCGGGGCAGATGGTGTGTGACGTTACTCTGTGTCGTCGGCAGGTGGGCCGGGCCGGACGGTGTGTGACGTTACTCTGTGTTGTCGGCGGGTGGGCCGGGGCAGACGGTGTGTGACGTTACTCTGTGTTGTCGGCAGGTGGGCCGGGGCAGACGGTGTGTGACGTTACTCTGTGTTGTCGGCGGGTGGGCCGGGGCAGACGGTGTGTGACGTTACTCTGTGTTGTCGGCAGGTGGGCCGGGGCAGACGGTGTGTGACGTTACTCTGTGTTGTCGGCAGGTGGGCCTGGCCGGGCAGTGTGTGACGTTACTCTGTGTCGTCGGCGGGTGGGCCGGGGCAGACGGTGTGTGACGTTACTCTGTGTTGTCGGCAGGTGGGCCGGGGCAGATGGTGTGTGACGTTACTCTGTGTTGTCGGCAGGTGGGCCGGGGCAGACGGTGTGTGACGTTACTCTGTGTCGTCGGCAGGTGGGCCGGACGGTGTGTGACGTTACTCTGTGTTGTCGGCAGGTGGGCCGGGGCAGACGGTGTGTGACGTTACTCTGTGTTGTCGGCGGGTGGGCCGGGCCGGACAGTGTGTGACGTTACTCTGTGTTGTCGGCGGGTGGGCCGGGCCGGACAGTGTGTGGCGTTACTCTGTGTTGTCGGCGGGTGGGCCGGGCCGGACAGTGTGTGACGTTACTCTGTGTTGTCGGCATGTGGGCCGGACGGTGTGTGACGTTACTCTGTGTTGTCGGCAGGTGGGCCGGGCCGGGCAGTGTGTGACGTTACTCTGTGTTGTCGGCAGGTGGGCCTGGCTGGACAGTGTGTGACGTTGCTCTGTGTCGTCGGCGGGTGGGCCGGGCCGGACAGTGTGTGACGTTACTCTGTGTTGTCGGCAGGTGGGCCGGGGCAGACGGTGTGTGACCTTACTCTGTGTCATCGGCAGGTGGGCCGCGAGGGTGAGATCGAGCCGCTGCAGATGCGCGCACTGCCCGTCAACCAGTTCAACATCACGCACGACCGGGAGGTGCTCTTCCACGACCCGGTGTCGTTCGCCAAGGCGGCCGACAGTCTGGCCTTCCTGATCCGCGACGCCGCCTACATCACGGCCGACAACTTCCAGCCGTGCGTCCAGTGTCTGCGCACGTTCGTGGAGGCTGGGCTGCAGGCGCGTCTGGCGGCCAACAGGTGAGAGGGGTGAGACTGACCTCGGACCGGTGACCTGTGACCTATGACCTGTGACCTGTGACCAGTGGCCAATGACCAGTGACCAATGACCAATGACTTTCGATCTGTAATCTGTGACCAGCGATCTCTGACCAGTAATCTGTGGCCAGTGACCAGTGATCTCTGACCAGTAATCTGTGACCAGTGACAAGTGACCAGTGACCAGTGCTCTGACCAGTAACCAGTGACCAGTGACCAGTGATCTGTGACCAGTAATATGCGACCAGTGACCAGTGACCAGTGGCCAGTGGCCAGTGGCCAGTGGCCAGTGGCCAGTGGCCAGTGACCAGTGACCAGTGACCAGTGACCAGTGGCCAGTGACCTTTATGTGTGTGTGTGCGGCAGGCCGGCGCCGTCAGCTGGGCCGGGCCGTAAGAGGCGCGGCCGCCGCCGGGACGAGGGCCGCCCCCCGCCGGCCGCCGCCGCCGCCGCCACCACCGCCCGCAACTACGACGCCGACGAGAGCGACTCGGAGGCCGAGCTGCCGGCCGGCTACCACCAGATCGCCATACAGGTCAGGACGGGTCAGGTCACGAGGCGGGTCACGACGGCGGCATGCCAGCGGAAGTTAGGTCAGATTAGGGTGGTTTAGATCACGTCGGATCACGAGAACGGGGTACCGGCAGGTGGTCATCTAGATCAGGTCAGGTAAGGTCAGATAAGGCAGATCAGGTCTCCCGGGTCAGTGGGTGGAGTTCACCGCACATGTCAGAGAAGGTGGTCTGGCACCACCAAATGACAGTGTGGGTCAGTGCACATAGTGACAGGTGACAGGTCAGCAGTGGAGGTCAGCAGACAGACCAGGCAGACCGGCAGATTGTCCCAGTGGTCCCGCTGCACTGCTCTGTGGTACGGTGCTTTGGGGCCGGTCGAAGAAGCTATTGGTGCAAAACAGTTGTGATTCTGTATTGTGTCATTGCTATTACGTGATTCTCAGGGCATTGTGTATGGGCTTTGTCGCCAACTGTCATACACGACTTCCGCATGTTCTCCGTTTTCCCACTGTTGTCAGCTGCTGGACCCCGTCTCCCACGTCCCGTGTCTTCCCCCGTGACAGCTGTGTGTGGCGGCCGTCTGCAGCTGCTGGACCCCCGTCTCCCACGTCCCGTGTCCTCCCCCGTGACGGCTGTATGTGGCGGCCGTCTCCAGCTGCTGGACCTCCCGTCTCTTACGTCCCGTGTCCTCCCCCGTGACGGCTGTGTGTGGCGGCCGTCTCCAGCTGCTGGACCTGATGCACACGCTGCACACGCGGGCGGCCCACATCTTCGGCTGGTTCAGCGAGCCCAGCCGCCGCGGTCAGCTGGACAGCCTGTGGGAGGGAGGCTGGTGCCCGCTGCTGCAGGGCATCGCACGCCTATGCTGCGACCCCCGGCGCCAGGTCAGCCGGGCAGGGGCCGGGCAGAGGGGAGGTGACGGGACGACAGGCCGGAGGCAGGCTCGCGTCCCGTTGGTGACGGCCGAGCCGTTGGACATGTCGCTTCGGGTGGTATGTGAGGGAAGGGCTTCATGGACCACCGATTTTATTTCGATTAAGTATGTTCATGTGTCGTATGTTATGTTTTTCGATTAATTTGTCTGCCATGTAAGTTTTCCCGACTCTGACAACGTTGATCATTGATAATCAAGCACTGATCTTGAAGCGACCCAAGAGGAGCGCCCTGTGACCTGAGGAGGGAGCGCCCTGTGACCTGAGGAGGGAGCGCCCTGGGACCTGAGGAGGGAGCGCCCTGCGACCTGAGGAGGGAGCGCCCTGGGACCTGAGGAGGGAGCGCCCTGCGACCTGAGGAGGGAGCGCCCTGCGACCTGAGGAGGGAGCACCCTGTGACCTGAGGAGGGAGCACCCTGCGACCTGAGGAGGGAGCGCCCTGCGACCTGAGGAGGGAGCGCCCTGCGACCTGAGGAGGGAGCATCCTGCGACCTGAGGAGGGCGGACAGCGCTGAGCCGTGTTTCAATTTCATGTTCTGTAGTGAGTTTCGAGCGGCTGACCGAGCCGCCGAACCCCGCCACGACCCTGACCCTGACCTGGCGTTGACCTGACCTCGTTCGGGCGGCAGGTGCGAGCCAGCGCCGTGACCTACTTGCAGCGCTCTCTGCTGGTGCACGACCTGCAGGCGCTGGCGCCAACTGAGTGGGAGGCCTGCTTCCACAAGGTCAGTTTGACGTCCGCTCTGGGCTGCGCTCGGACGGCGCTGCACGCTCCACCCGCCCGCTCGCGAACCCCGGACGCGGCCACACGCTTCCCCGACACACGCAAGCACGCGCGCACGCACGCACGCACGCACGCACGCACGCACGCACGCACGCACGCACGCACGCACGCACGCACGCACGCACGCACGCTCGCTCGCTCACACTCGCGCACGCACGCACGCACGCACGCGCGCACGCACGTTCGCTCACACGCACGCACGCACGCACGCCCACATGTGATGTTTTCGGGCAGGCCGTGTGGCGGTCCGGGACACGCGTACGACTCAGACCGGCGCGGACCGGCCGACACGCGGCGGCGGTGGGTGGGGCCGAGCGTTCCGCAGGTGAACAGCCAGCCCCGCGGGCCGGGGCGGCGGCGCGCCACGGGAGGGGGAGAGGCGGGCGCACAGCCGGGGCGGGTGGTCTCCTGGTCTGCTCCATCAGGGCCTGGCTTCATGGGGTGAAGCCACAAGTGTGCGCTTTTTGGGATCGCGACGTGTAAGCACACGGGCGAGAAATCGGCTTTTTCCGCTGAAGGTGTGTATTCGTCAGTGCTGTGCTAGTAGGTGCGTCGGTTGAACTGCTTCATTTGTTGAAAGCATTCATGCGACACAATTTGAACTTGCGCAGATTCGTAGTTCAGTTCTGTGAGGTTCTTTCTAAAGAGAATGTAATGAAGGAACGAAACACAGTGCTTTAGATCGAAAGCCACAACTTGAAGCCGCTGGTCGACGGCGAAACTCACCAGCAAATGGATGAGATGGGAGTGAAGTGGTTTGGAATGAAAATAAATGCAAGTCACGGGGATCAAGCCCGCCACAAAAGGTCTTCGTCGCACTGTTTTCGCTTTGTTGGACGGGTAGAATATTCGCATCCCCAAATAGCTCGTTTGCAGCCAACACGTGAACTGCTGCCTGTCTTGTGTTATGTCGTAGGCCTTAACTCTATGTACTGAAATGCCACCATAGGTGAGATGCCGTAAGGTGGCGCTCGCCTTGGATCGGGCTTACGTCAAGGTCAATGCATTGTGGCGCAACGGTTTACCTGCGTAGCTCAGAAACAGCTCTAGCTCAGAAAGGTCACGGTAGTGTTCGCCGGCTGACTTGACCCAGTCTGAGCGTGCCCTGCCACACTAGCCCTGGTCTGAGTGGAGTTGGCGACTTCCCTGAGCACGCGCCTGTACAGGGGCTCTGGTGATGTGAACCGACTCTGGCTTGGCATTAGCGTGGCCCTGCTACCCCGTCAGACGCCGTGTGCTCCCCGGCTGATCACAGCCTGTCCCATCCCCACCTCCCCGCCTGCCCACAGTCAGGCCCATCCCCGCCTCCTCGCCTGCCCACAGTCAGGCCCATCCCCGCCCCCTCGCCTGCCCACAGCCTGTCAAATCCCCACCTCCCCGCCTGCCCACAGCCCGTCCCATCCCCGCCTCCCCGCCTGCCCACAGTCTGGCCCATCCCCGCCCCCTCGCCTGCCCACAGCCCGTCTCATCCCCGCCTCCTCGCCTGCCCACAGCCCGTCCAATCCCCACCTCCCTGCCTGCCCACAGCCCGTCTCATCCCCACCTCCCCGCCTGCCACAGCCCGTCCCATCCCCACCTCCCCGCCTGCCCACAGCCCGTCCAATCCCCACCTCCCCGCCTGCCCACAGCCCGTCCCATCCCCGCCTCCCCGCCTGCCCACCGTCTGGCCCACCCCCACCTCCCCGCCTGCCCACAGCCTGTCCCATCCCCGCCTCCCCGCCTGCCCACAGCCTGTCCCGTCCCCGCCTCTCATGCTCTCCGCAAGCCAAGACGTGTGCTCGCCCGCCCCCTTCCGCCATAATGAAGTTGCCGTACAAACCCTGACCTGGGCCGGCCCGCCGTCTGATGGGCGCCGTGCAAACTGCAGTGTTCTGCCCTGCGCCGAGCCTCCGACTGCCGCACAAACGCGGAACGGTCCTGCTCTGCGTCCGGCTCTGCTGGCGTCGTATAACTCCAGTTGTCTAGCTCACCTCACGGCGTCCTGCAGGTGCTGTTCCCGCTGCTGGCGAAGCTGCTGGAGCCGTCGCCGGCGGCGGGGCTGGAGGAGACGCGGATGCGCGCGGCCACGCTGTTGTGTAAGGTGTTCCTGCAGCACCTGACGCCGCTGCTGTCACTGCCCACCTTCACGGCGCTCTGGCTCACCATCCTCGACTTCATGGACAAGTACCTGCACGCCGACCGGGCCGACCTGCTGGTGCGTCCTGTGCTGAGGGGTCGGGGTCAGGGTCGGGGTTCGGGTCAAGGTCGGGGTTCGGTTCGGGGTCGGGGTCGGGGTCGGGGTCGGAGTCGGGGTCGGAGTCGGAGTCGGAGTCGGAGTCGGAGTCGGGGTCGGAGTCGGAGTCGGGATCGGGGTCGGGGTCGGAGTCGGAGCCGGGGTCGGAGTCGGAGTCGAAGTCGGGGTCGGGGTAAGTGTTGGTGTCAGGACCGAGGCCAGGGGTGGGTTGAGGTTCAAGTCGAGGCTCAGGTTTTGGCTCCGGCTCCAGTGTTCCGGTTCCGGGCCGGAGCGGGGGGGGGGGGGGGGAGAGGCAACGGTGTGTGGTGTGCTGGCTGCATGCTAGGATGACGGGCGTGCCCTGGCGTCTGTGGCAGCAGTTGTGGAGTGTGGCCACCGGAGCTAGGCCTGGTGACGAGACTCTCCGTAACAACCACACATTTAGCTTCCGTATCCACTCAAACACATGCCTCTCCCAACCGCCGTGGGCCTGACCTGTTGGGCACACGTCTGTCCACCTGGCACGCGTGAGTGCAGCCCCCGGCGGCGCCGCGCCTGACTGTTGTGTCCGGCCGCAGCACGAGGCGATCCCGGAGTCGATGAAGAACATGCTGCTGGTGATGGAGACAGCCGGCATCTTCCACACGTCGGAGGGCTTCACCCAGCTCTGGGCCATCACCTGGGACCGCATCGACACCTTCCTGCCGACGCTGCGCGAGGAAGTCTTCAGGAACCACCCGCCCAGTACGTGCGGTGATGTGTCGACGGACCAGAGGCGCACACAGACCCGCTCCGGACACACGGATTACCGCACCGGCTAGCTGGCGGCTCAGCCGGCGGCTCGGCGCGCGTGCTCCGCCGTCTGCGGCTCGCCGGTGACGCCGCCGTGTTCGCCTCTGTGGCGGCCAGCGCCGCTCGCTTACACGTGTCGGCCGCCGGCCAGATCGTAGCCAGGCGGTCGAGGCCGCTGCAGTGACGCGCCAGCATCACCCTCCGCGCATGGCGTGTACCGTTGTACCAGCGGCTGGTGCGTGCGTCGCTGTGCCACCGGGTGGTACGTGTGCCTCTGCCACTGGCCGCGGCATCGAACTCGAACCGACGCGCGCCAATCCGGCACGCCTGGAAGCACGGCAGCGCGGATGGCCTGATCTGTGCCCTTTATCCTGTAAGCGGAAGTTCAGGCGACGGTCTCAAGGACGAGGTTCGTTGAGGCGACGCTCCGTGGCACAAGTGCCCCGGCAGTTACGACGCCATTGGGCCTGAACCGCCGCCGTATCGTCGCCGTTTATCGTGTGCTGTGCGGGGCTCGTCGGATTGTCATGGTTCCCCGCTTGTCGAGTGCCCGCCGTCGCCTGCCGTCCGGCCGGCGTGGACTGCGTGGCGTCACCAGCGGATGTCTCCGTTTTCAGACGAGATCAAGACGACCGCGAGCGGAGCTGACCTGAGGTCACCGGGCGCCGAGCCGCAGCCGACCGTGGCGCCCAGTATGAGGGAGGTGCGGCCGGCCAGGTGAGCGCCCAGTATGAGGCAGGTGTGGCCGGCCAGGTGAGCGCCCAGTATGAGGGAGGTGCGGCCGGCCAGGTGAGCGCCCAGTATGAGGAAGGTGCGGCCGGCCAGTTGAGCGCCCAGTATGAGGAGGTGCGGCCGGCCATGTGAGCGCCCAGTATGAGGAGGTGCGGCCGGCCATGTGAGCGCCCAGTATGAGGGAGGTGCGGCCGGCCATGTGAGCGCCCAGTATGAGGGAGGTGCGGCCGGCCAGGTGAGCGCCCAGTATGAGGGAGGTGCGGCCGGCCGGGTGGGTGCGTCACACTGGCTGGTCAGCGGCGCAGCGGCCGCCCCTCTCCGCCCCCCCCCCCCCCCCCGGCCGCTCCTGACGCACGCTGGCGGTGTGTTGACATGGACGTTACTGACATTGAGCCGGGTTAATCAATGGTAGATGGGTTCGTATGTGTGTCGTCATGTTGGAGTGTTGGCTATACGCGTAGCGGGCAGGGGCGCAGCGCCTGTACTGCGGACACTGTGCGTGTTTGTTCTGCGGTCAGCCGGCTCATCTCGGCTGCCTGGCGTACTTTTTGTCCCCCTGTTGGGTGACTCTGGTGTTGGGGTTCTGGCGTGCGAGAAAGCGGTCCTCTGACCTCATTCTTAACCTCCGACATATGACCTTTGGCTGCTGACATCTCCTGCTCACCTCTCCCTCCTTTCCTGCCCTCTGAACTCATCACTCTACTCTGGCAGTGGATTCGGTACCACATGCTGACCCTGATCTCTCTCTCTCTCTCCCTCTCTCTGTCCCCTCTCTCTCTCTCCTCCCCCCTCTCTCTCTCCCTCTCTTTCCGTCCTCCCTTTCGTTTTCTGCCTCCCTCCCTTCCCATCTTCCTCCCTTTCTCCCTCCTCTCTTTCCCTATCCCTCCATTCATCCCTCTATTCCTCCATTTCTCCCTCCTTCCCTTTCTCCTTCTTCCCTTCCTCTTTCCCTCCCTCCCTCCCTCCCTCCGCGTGTGCTGGCCCGGACCGCGCCCCTGGCCGCGCGCCGAGGCCTCTCCGGTGACGGCCGTCCCCCGTGTGCCACAGCCCGCTGCACCACGAGGAGCTGGTGCCGCCGGCGCCGGCCGTGGTGCTACACTCGCCGTTGCCGCCGGCGCCGGCCCCTGCGGCGCCGCCGCCGCCGCCGTCGGCCCAGCCGCCGTCGCTGCCGCTGATGACTCTGTCGGCCGGGCCGTCGCCGGTGCCCGTGTTCCTGCAGCCGCTGCCGACCGTGCCGACGGCCGGCGGGCCGGCGCTGGGGACGGAGCGGGCTGCGGCGCAGGAGCAGGCGGCCGGGCCGGTGGCGGCCGGCCCCAGCGCGGGGCTGGAGCTGTCCGCCGCGCCTCTGGGGGTGTCGCCGCCGGGCCTGGCCTCCGAGCAGCCCGCCGTGCCTTTGGTGATGCTTCCCACCTACTCTCCTGACGCGCCGTCTGTGCCTTTGGTCACACCCGCCTCACCGCCCTCCGCCCAGCCGGCGGCGTCGCCGATAGCGCCGCCCGCCTCCTCCTCCTCCTCCTCCGAGCCTGCTCTCGTGCCGCCGGCAGTGCCGCCTCAGCGCCCGGCCGCAGGCGACGTCAGCTCGGCGCCAGCTGACGGCGCCGTGACGTCAGCAGCGACAGCTGGCGCGCCGCCGCAGGCCGACGGCTTGCCCATGTTCCGGATGGAGGCCGCTGCGGTGAGAGGGCTGGGGCCTCGCTCACTTTGAAGCGACTGTGGTGTTTTCCACGGTGCTCGCAGCGGATGGCATTCAGATCAATGCCATTATATCCGTGTTTGTGTTGATGTCCGGTGCAATGGAAGCTGACGCTGACACCGCCATTCAAGGTTTCTGTTTTTATGAACATGGTTTTGCAAACCTTCGGAACACGCCTCTTTGGACCGTGACCTGGAACGATCGTCGGCTTTCAGGGTGGTGCAATCAGCTGGTGCCTATAACCCCAGAACATTCAAAACAACGGAATATTGTCGCTAACACTTCTTCAGCTCACAACCTCATAACCCAGGACCTAAAGTACTGCACTATTGTGGAAACCACTATGTCACACTGACCTCCAGTAGGACTTTCGTAAATACTGTATAGTAATCAGTAGATGAATGCGCTACCTTCTTGATCCAAAATATATTTTCTCGTGTTCTTTCGTCCTGTTATGAATCTCTGGCTGGTTGTCGTGTGAATGGTTGCCAGGTAACGGTCATCACTGTCACATCTGGAGTTTAGTCGATGCACACTACCTCGTGCCTTGTCGTCGGACGTCTATGTGGTGGAGTGGCGGCCAGCGGAGCGCATTCGGTGGTGCTGGAGTGTTGGTTTGCTGAATGGGAAACGGGTGGCCGTCTCACCCAGCATTGCCGTGACGTGATGGACGTCCAGGACTGATGGCGGCTCACTATTTCCATTCCTTTTCAGAGCACCGACGACTTCTTCAGCAGATGAGCGTGCACCGACCGCTCAGCGATAGCCGTCCCATCTGTTGGGCCGGTGGTGAATCAACGCCTCATCGCGGTCCACCAGGGCGGCGCTGTTCACGATCGGGTCGCGTGCCATCCGCGGGCGAAGGCGATGTCTGAATGGTGCCAGCAATAGACGCCCGCGACTTGTCGAGTTGTGTTCTGTGTCGCGAAGGCGCGGTGGAAATTCCCGCACGAGTCTCGCCGCGACGCAAAATGGCCGCCAGTGACGGGTTCTCGCGATGTGCTTCGAGTGCAGCCGGTTTTAGCGCAGCGACACTGGGCAGGGCCGCAGCTATCCGCTCCGTCCCGCTGCCTGCGCCGCCCGCGCCGCCCGCTGAGGGTGTGAAGCGTGTGGCCGGGCGGCGGGACCACGCGGTGACTCGGAGGGCCGCGCCGGGCGCGGGTCGGCGGCGAGGAGGGAGCGTCGGTGGCCCCGGGAGGTCACGAACGCTGACGTTTGTCGGTTGAGCCAGCGCCACCCCCTCCCCCCATCCCCCAGGGGCTCGCGAGCGTCGCCGACCGCCACCTGCGCCGCGCGGCTGGAGGCGAAGCCGGCAGTGACGCGATGTGCAGTACCGCGTCCGTGGGGGTTACACGGGGGGGGGGGGGGGGCGGTGGTCCGGGCCAGGTTCTGTTCGCAGGCTATCTGATGGCACCTGAGGGAGGCGCTGCCTGTCACCGTGCGAGGTGTGCTGCACGAGCACTGTAGCTGGAAATTGACCCGTGGTTTTTCTGTTTTAAGGTGTGCGCTGTGTTAAGTGTCGTTGAAATATCTATATTTTATTCGCGGTGGGCGGGTAGGCGGGGAAACGACTAATAAACACAACGTTGGTGTGATGCTGTTGCCTTCTTCCTGAAACAGCGGTCGACAGAGCCAGTGGCCATTTTCTGGCTGATTAAGTTGGTCCGATGAAAAACCTTTCACGAGGGAACAATTGTCTCAGACGTTGAGGGTTGCCTTTTCGACCTCTGTTCCGCTCAACGCCGTGTAAAAGCCAGCTGTCTGCCGGGGCTGTCTGGCGCTGCCGGCGTCGCCGGAGGACGCGCCTCCCCGCAGAAGACTGCTCGAAGCCAGGCCGGCCTGCCGCCAGGGGTCAGAGTGTCATGGCCGGCCTGCCGCCAGGGGTCAGCATGTCATGGCCGGCCTGCCGCCAGGGGTCAGCATGTCATGGCCGGCCTGCCGCCAGGGCTCAGCGTGTCATGGCCGGCCTGCCGCCAGGGGTCAGCATGTCATGGCCGGCCTGCCGCCGGGGGTCAGCATGTCATGGCCGGCCTGCCGCCAGGGCTCAGCATGTCATGGCCGGTCTGCCGCCAGGGGTCAGCATGTCATGGCCGGCCTGCCGCCAGGGGTCAGCATGTCATGGCCGGCCTGCCGCCAGGGGTCAGCATGTCATGGCCGGCCTGCCGCCAGGGGTCAGCATGTCATGGCCGGTCTGCCGCCAGGGGTCAGCATGTCATGGCCGGCCTGCCGCCGGGGGTCAGCATGTCATGGCCGGCCTGCCGCCAGGGCTCAGCATGTCATGGCCGGTCTGCCGCCAGGGGTCAGCATGTCATGGCCGGCCTGCCGCCGGGGGTCAGCATGTCATGGCCGGCCTGCCGCCAGGGGTCAGCATGTCATGGCCGGCCTGCCGCCAGGGGTCAGCATGTCATGGCTGGCCTGCCGCCAGGGGTCAGCATGTCATGGCCGGCCTGCCGCCGGGGGTCAGCATGTCATGGCTGGCCTGCCGCCAGGGGTCAGAGTGTCATGGCCGGCCTGCCGCCAGGGGTCACAGTGTCATGGCCGGCCTGCCGCCAGGGGTCACAGTGTCATGGCCGGTCTGCCGCCAGGGGTCAGCATGTCATGGCTGGCCTGCCGCCAGGGGTCAGCATGTCATGGCCGGCCTGCCGCCAGGGGTCACAGTGTCATGGCCGGTCTGCCGCCAGGGGTCAGCATGTCATGGCCGGCCTGCCGCCAGGGGTCAGCATGTCATGGCCGGCCTGCCGCCAGGGGTCAGCATGTCATGGCCGGCCTGCCGCCAGGGCTCAGCGTGTCATGGCCGGCCTGCCGCCAGGGGTCACAGTGTCATGGCCGGTGTGTCAAAAATGAAGATCTTAGATGAAATAGGGCACTTTTGCGCGGACGATTTCGGTCGGTCAGTTTTGTACTCCTCAGATTTATGATATTCCACTCAAACATATCAAAAGTTCGTTGATTTCGGCCTCTTCCGGACTTTATTGTAGACATTTCGGTCCTCGTTGCACGCTTCAATCCGGGGAATTTGACACACTGGCCAAACCCGACCGTTGCAGGATCATAACCCTCACACACGGGATGTTCGGTGCACAAGGATCCAAGACGAGAGCGCAGAAGAGGCGACTGTCCGTGTACGGCAGGACACACTGCCAGTGGACAAGCATCTGTCGGCTGATGGGAGGAAAACAGGTCATTGACCTTTAGGCAGGGACTGAGAGCGGGCGGCAAAATTTTTAGACAGTTTCAACTCTTTTGTTCGTTCATGCCGTTTAGTTAGGGTCTTGGTGTTGCGGGACTAGGCAGAAAGGTAAAGGTGGAGAAAGGCCCGTTTCAACAACTAGCTCGGTTAGAACGCTTACCTTTCAATTTTCCCACCTGTGACGGGGTGGGTTCTAATCGCTTTTGACACTCGCTATTTGTTCCCAATCGGCATGGCCTGCAGCCGATGGCAGCTGGTGCGCCAAAGGTCAGGCCGCAAAGGTCAGGGCACTTGTCGACGGTCAAGACGGGGCGTGCCGAGCATTACGACACGTTAAGCTTAGCCGTGGAATTCTGCCGATGATCAGGGGATTTGTACGATTGGGCGGTGGCTCTGATTTTACGCAGCAGACGCCAGGTAGCGTGGGTGCTGGTCCCAAAGATCCATCCAATCAGAATGTTCAAATTAAACGCAATGCAAACTACGACCATGCCAGGCTCAGTTCGGCACCAAGGCACTCCACATACGAAGCCCAGGCCGGGATTGTGCGGGTTCTCTGACGACATATTCAGCCCAGAGGCAGAAGCAGAAGCACAGGTCTCAATGTTAGGAGCTTCACCATGAGACTCGCGGCTTTTGCTCGCGTTTGATTTATGGTAGAAACTTCAATCACGTTCATCAATCGCATCGTTTACAATGGCCGGGTCTGTTGCCGTTCTTACCGTTGTTTCCATCGCCCCCGCTACCTGAGCGGAGTTTTTGGGGGCGACCGTCTGCCCTCGGCGGAGGCAACGGCCCAGCCCAGGCAGCGACCGCGCCCGGGCCGCCGGGACCGCCCCTCAACAGCGTCAAGCATCGGTCCTCCTTCCCCCTATCGATCGCCCGGCCGCCTGGCGGGCGACCCGCGAACTAACGCCAGTCCCTGCCGGCGGTCGCGTTGGGAAGTGGCACCCGCTGGAAGTGCAGCCGCGATGAATTTCCTCTATGAGATCAGTGTGCTGCTTCTGCTGTGCGCTGTGGGAGGTGAGTCCATGCACGGAAACTCCACTCGCAGAAAACCGCCGGCGGCGATTAAAGCTCATCAAAATACGCTCACTGAAAAGGTTCACTTTGTCTTAGCCAAGACATTTTTACGCTACTTCGCGTACGCCTCAGCGTGTATGTGTTGGGATGTTTTCATCTTGCGGTCTTGATTTGTCCCCGTGCAGAGATTCGTCCACTGCGTGCGCCCCGAAGCACGCGCAAGCCCCGCTTTGTTGGTGACAAACAAACTCATCTCCGGTTATAGATAAGCCAGTAGTAATGGCCTTATTCCTCGTAAAAAAAAACAAGGAGAATGGAGATATAGCTGCGTTAATATTTCAGCAACATGCCTTTATCGAAACGAGCAGGAAAAGCGCAACACATATTTATCAAAACGAAGAGCAAAGTAGCAACATGTAAACTGGCAAAGTGCAACAGACTTCTACGGAAACGACTATCGCTTCTTCTATTCATTTCGATGCAGGCATGTTACCGAAATATCAAGATATCTATATTTTTATTCTACTGGTTTTCCACAGAGAATGAGGCTTTTACTACTGTCTTGTGTAAACGTATAATGTACCTTGCAAATGCCCCTGACAACATACGTTACCCCGGTTGAGTCCAACCCAGGTGGGCGCTTTAATCGAACATTCAATACTCGGGTCGGAGACATCATACCTGGGATAGCCAATATCAGTCCTGGCGGGCGGTAAATATTGGCATTGCCTCCGGCACTCGGAGTCAGCCCGCTGGTGAGTAAGACCGGACATTGTGAGGTGAGCTATTTGCGCGGGACATTGTGAGGTGAGCTATTTGCTTCTTGCCAGCCGAGGTACAGAGCTAACAGCAGGTTACATGGATGCCCAAGGGGACGCCGAGCTGGTGTATGGTTGGGGACATTCGGGTAATAGGTGTGGGTACTATGAGTGCTCAATAGCCTGCGGTGCAAATCGTGCAAACTACGCGCGATATTTCGGTGGCTCGTCTGGATTTAGGCGGGGCAAGCTACCAGTCCGGCACGTGAGTGGTTACGGAATTGTCAACAGCCCCGCCAGCTTTGTCTCTTGGTGATCGACTCACAATGACCGTGATCTGAGATGTATATTAACGCCTTGCCGAATGTGAAAGCTAACAAAATACAGAACATGCCGTTCTGCTCACACCGCTGACAGGGCTTTCCAGCAGGCTTTCTCACCGTAATGTCATGCATTGTGTGACTGACGCACATTGTGTTTATTCACGTGCACGCAGTACGACTCCCCCCTTCCCCCTCCGCGATCGCCCTAACGAGCCCGTGTGCCGTTTATAAGGTGGCCTGCCCGGCGCGTGACCCTGACCCCGGGACCCTAACCCGCCACGCCGATGGGTGCGCTCGCCAAATCCTAGCTGGCTACATCCCTTCAGACGGATAATTACACCGCGGCGTTTCCACACACACTCATTTCACGTCTGACTGGTGTTAGCATGAGGGGGGGGGGGGAGACATGGCTCGGGAACGATGGATGTGGAAAGCAGGCTGAAAATTTTTCCACCGTTTATTCTTGCTCTTACTTTCACATATAGGTGACTTCGGTCATCCGGTACAGAATACCAGCCGTGCCCCCGTTCACTGAGAAAATCGCAGTGAAAGTACCGCCTCTCTCTCGACGCTCCCACCTGGTTTTCTTCCACTTGCTCCCTCTCGCAGGCTTTGTCTTGCATGCGCCGTGTCGCGGTCCGAGACAGGCACAGCTCCTCGAAAGCCATATGTTTTGGATTCTCTGGGGGGAAGCCTGGCACGGGTTTTGCCCCGCACCGGTTCGTCTGGGCACTGATTGGCTCAGGCTCGCACTCCGAGACTGTCTGCTGGACTGGTGGCTCAGTATCTTGCCCGGCGTCCGTTGTCTCGTCCGATCCGCTCGGCCGATGCTGACCGTAGTCGGCTTGGTGCCCTGCCCTATCATCCAGCCATCTGCTGCTCCTGCGCGAGCGTGGCAGCATGAGGGCGGAGAACGCTGGCTCTGCTTTGATGCTATGCTAATAGGTCTGTAATAATTTTGTTTTGGACAGTCTCCTGATACTTTAATGTCAACTGTGGTTCCAAGGGGCCATGTATCGCCCGTCCGACAGGGCCATGTCTGCACGGGCGTCTGCTGCCCGGCCTGGTGCACCGTCGCTGGCTATCATGGGTGCAGCCTCCTTTTCGGTTAGGGGGGTCTACAGCCCCCCTCCCAAGACTTGGGCATCAGTCCCAACTTTGCCAAGAAAATGGGCAAAATCCCTTCCAGCCAACAAACAAGCTAGGAGATGCCTGTTTGTTGGCACTGTTTGGGGCAGGTTGGAACATTTTTTTTCACTGTTCAGTCCCCACCTCACTTTGCCAAACTACGCCCTCGGGATATTCTAGCTCCTAGGCAGCGTCCCTGTTGCGATCCCTAGCGGGTGATGGGGGATGCAATGCAGAACTAACAACTCAAAAGCACGGGCAATAACAGTGAAAATGTACGCTCCGTCTTACGTCACGCCTAACACGCACAACGCAATACTACAAGCACATTTGCACAGCCAAGAACAGCGCTGGGAAGCGTCACTGGTATGCACGCTGGCGCCACCGGCTGCGCCCCCCTCCCCCACCCCCACTCACGACGTTTTGACCCGCACAACCTGGAGGTCGGCGTGACCTGACCAGAACGGGCGCCAGCGTCTGCTGCTGCCCCCCCCCCCCTTTTTCAGGCCACTGACACTGGTCTGCCGCGCCTTCTGATCTTCGCCTCGCCTTGGCTCTTGACTCATCGATCTGACCTTTTCTGTAGTTTTGTTTCTGACCTCTCGCAGACCTCTGCAAAGCCCGTCCATGGTAGGCGACCTGGACCAGATCCTTTACATAGCGGCGGCCTGTCTGGCCAGGGTCGATTCTGATATGCATGGCGCCACCGGTAGCCCGTTGGCATGACGACGATGACTCATGCCTCCTGCCGCTCAGATCAGTCTGTGACAATTTCATTGCATTATTCTCCTCCAGCACTTACCGCGGCCCGTCCACTTACCGCATATGCCCTATTCATGCCGCTATCTTTTAATTACATTCCTCGCTATCGGCATCTATTGCTTAACTCCCCAACACAGTTCTCATCTTATCTTGACGGGGAGTGTCTTTGGCCTGGGTGAGAGTCGCCGCCTCGGCCGCTGGACAGCGGCCGGACCGACAGAGCCACTGCGGCCAGGAACGGTCAGACAGGCGCCAGAGGTCACTGCCAGAGGTCACTGCCCAGCTGTGACCTCTGTGACCCCAGTCCCGGCGCTCAGCCGGCGCTGGCGGCGGGAAACTTAGCAGCATGGCGACACAATCACTCATGAGGGTTCATCGGCTCTCCGTACTAAATGCACTGGAACCTGGCTGTTAACGAGTGCCGCACGCCCACCGCGGCGGAGCACGAGTTTCCAAGCGGATGCCTGTCTGCGCAGTATGATGTTGGTCTGATGTATTGTTTGCGTGAATGGGGAGAACGAAATGCGTCGCTTCGCCGATAGATGAGCCACGTGTTTCTGCCCGCAATGCATAGTAGCAGAATACAACAAAAACGTAGCACGCGCCCGCTCGAAGCAGACTGGTGGTGTGTAAACCGCAACACCGCTCGCTGGCTTACTCATGCCCCACTTTGTCAGTGCCCCACCCAACCCCAGTGACGTCATACATCTTGAGGCAGCCTACCGTCGCGCCCGAGCCGACCACTCCTGAGCGTCCCGATGATGACAGCGGAACACGGTATCCCGAAGGCGACTGCCGTTCGTTCCGCGTAGATGAGCACCGGCAGCCCATCTCGGAGGGCTTGTTTGCGTCCATCGCGGCCTAATCAGCTCAGCCCGGCCGAATGGGTCGGAGGTACGGGATGTCGGGACTTGTGATTGGCGGTCGATGCACATGGATGAAGCTATTATCAGCGATATCTGAGTGTGTTTATCGTGACCATTTTGCGTTGAGCTAAATTAGACGATAACATGCAAGGTTGATGAGTGGACACGACCGCCCGGAGCCGAAAGGGTGAAGAAAAACGACCCTCGGCGTCGCTGTAATTAAGTCCTCAGGAGGCGGTGGTGACATTGTGGTCGGGATCCTCGGCTCTAGACCTATCAGTCCTTGGTTCGAGTCCCTGCCACATCCCACCGTATTCCGCAGGAGACCTGGTGAATCATTCTGTCTTGGAATGCCTTTGGCAGTCGGCGAGATATAAAGCCGCATACATTATCATTGCTGATTAGGTTGGCGCCGATGTTTGAACTGAAGCCGGCTGCGCAGCTCATCGTCTGGCCGCCGACATCGTCCGTGCCGCGGCTGGTGGCTGCCATATTGATTTTCAAAGTATAAGCCACAGCCATGTTGCATCATCAATTTACGGCGCTTCTCTAGCATTGTTAATTATATAAAAAAACAAAGCTCCCTACGATGTGCTCCTCGAGCACACACCAAAATTACACCGAACAACGCAACACTTGCCCCAAGATCCGACGCACATCCGACCGAGGACGCTGCACCAGCTCAGCTGCTCCGGCCAGCTCAGCTGTTTTAAGTTTCGAGGTTTCCAGGGAACGCCGACGTCGCAGATCCGCTGACGACGGCCTAACGACGCAAACAAAGCTGGGCGTCGCACACGTCGCGCTGCGAGGACCGCGGCGGCGATGGGAGCCGACACGCCGGCATGTTTATACTTGCGATTTCTGCATGGCTGCGATGACGAGCTGCAAGCGCATCGGGTCAGGGTCACCGCAGATGACCCTGTCAGGGCACCAGAGTGCAAGCGCAGTCAGGGCATCAGACTGCTTCCAGCATAGTCGAGTGTGCAGCCGCCTTCAACACGACAGTAGCTGCGGTATTTCTGACCTTCCATTTGCTGGGGGCGAGCGGCAGGGGAGGGGGACGCGTGCACCGCCTCCCCAAGAACAGTTTTAGAGCCGATTAACCGCTGGGACTGTTCTCAACGGAAAACGACATCCCTGGACCGTATGACGTCCAGTACATG